CTCGGAGGCCCGCCTCGACTCCCCACCCACTCCAGGCCCCAGGTTCGCCCAGATCCAACGCCCGACGCCCCCTCCCCGTCACCTTAGCGACGGCAGGATGGGGGGCGCGACCTATGAGGAAGGGTTTAGGGGAGGGGGCGCTACTAGACTCCACCTGCGGCAGGAAGAGAATTTTAGTTTTACCCGTTGTCGTGGCAACGCAGGAGGGGTGGCGAGTGGGTGGAGGAGAGGGGAGCGCAGGGAAGAACTAGCTCTGGCACCACCACCCCGCGGAGCCTGCCCGGGCCCCCACCCGCGGGGCCTACGGAACTACCCCAGGGCGTCCAAACGGTGCACCCCAGGGCTCTGGGAGCAGCCGCCACTAAACGTCGCAACATCCCTAAACCCCAGAGAAATACCTCCTGACTCCCCTAGGACTCCCCCAAAACACGGCCCTCCCCCTCCCCGCAGAGCCGCGCACCCTCTGGGAAGGCACACTGCGAACCCTCACAGCGCACACTTGTGAGCCCTCACAGCCCGGCCAACATGGGGCACCCTGGCGCCTGGAGAAAACGCGCTGACCTCGGCCGCCCCCGCCTTCTCCAGGCGCAGCCCTGGATTCCCTGAGCTCCCAGGAATACACTTGAATGAACCCACACACAGAACACCTCCCGGGCCCTCCCCATGGCAACCTGGAAACACCCTCACCCCACGCGGAAGTGTTTGACATTCCCTCCAAGAACAGCCGGCTCCCCACAGAGCCACCACCACCACCAGGGCCTCCCACCACACCACCCATGCCCATCCCTCTGCCTCCAGGGCAGCCTCTGGTCCCCCTCCTCCCCAGGGCAGGGACCGCTTCCCAAGGGCCAGCTCTACCCGCTGAGGGAGCCCTGGCTCTCTCCACCCCCATCCACCCCACTTAAGGGAAAATCTCTGTCCCCCAGGATCCACTGACCCCACAGAGCCGAGCCTCCAGCGCTGACTGTGGGTCTGTCTGTCCCGCTTTCTCAGCAGACACTCCCTGCCGGGAAGTGTTGCCCCAGGATGCCCAGACCTCCCACCTCCCTGTCCAGGCTCTTCCCAAGGCCACTGGCCTGGCCTGAGTGAGGGAGCTAAGGGTCCCCTGGGGACTGGAGCAGGATGGGAGGGGTGGGGAAAGCGGGGAGCAGGAAGGGGCGGTTGGAAGCCCACTTATCTGCAGGAAGCACCTTGGGAAGCATGAGAGTTTGGGTTTCCTGGCCCAGCCCTGGAGAGAGGAAACGACTGCGTCCGGTGCTCGGTGTCTCCACCATCTTCCTGCCCCTTCCCGCCTCCTCCCTCTCCAGTCACCCCGGCCCCCAACTCCATGCCCACCCAGAGCGGCCCTGCCACCCCCCATCCATACCACCACCACCTCCACCTGCCTTTGCTCCCAGCAGCTCCTCCCATTGTGGCCACTGCGAGGCCATGGACAAGCTCACCGAAGCCCCTGACAGACGCCAGGAGGAGGCTGTGCCTCTCCCCAACCCAGACTCGGAGCAGTCCTAGTCCCTCACCAACTCCCTGCAAACCTGCCTGATGGCCACATACCCACCTGCCCACCCAGCCTGGACCTCACAGGGCCCGTCCTGCCTCCCCAGGCCTCCCTACTTGAGCCCTGTGCACCAATGCCCAGCCCCTTGGGAGAGACCCTCCATCGGACTCATGGTCTCCGCTTGGCCCGACTCAGCCCAGGGTGATAACAGAGCCTCATACAGTGCTGGCTCCGCAAAGAGCATGGCACACAGGATGGCACATATGCATGAAATCCAGGCCCACACTCCCCGGGCCCCCCACCACCCGCAGCAGCAAAAACAGCACACCCAGAAGCCCTGCACCCACATCGGCCCTCTGTGCCTGCCGTGTGGGGGGTCTGCAGACATGGAAGCCAAGGACGCGGGTGGGCGTTTGTGCTCTTTCTTTTCTTGAGACTAGAAGGCCCAGGCTCCTGTCCACCTGCCTCAGTAGGTCCGCCTTTGCCTGGCCCAGCCCTGCCCCCTTGCCTCCCTTGCCTCTGTCCTTGAAGGTGAGGATTCACCTGACCATGGCCTCCCTCCTTCCTTCAGGACCAGGGTCCCAGAAAGATCGTTGTTTCCTACTTCTTCCCCACATTCTCCCACCACAAACAGGCTTCCTAGGGCCTTGGGGAGCGCATGTGAGCTAAACACCCAAAACAGTGCCTGGCACAGGGCACACCCAGCCCTGGATGGAGCCTGCCCACTGGCCCTCGCTGCTCCAGCCTTCACTCCACCTCCCCTGAGGCCCCAAGTGCCTCCTGGTCAACTCTTCTGACAAGGTGTTTGTCTCAACTGACCTTCACTGCAGCTCAGGTGTGCCCCCTCCTTCACCCCTCCCTCCTCCTCTAACCCTCCTGGGGCCACTTCCTCACTGAATTCCAGCCCTGTCTCCACGTGCTTCAGCGTCCTATCCTCTTTCCCCCAAGTAGACTCAGCCCCCTACCCCCTCACTCCCATCTGCTTCTCTGTCTTCAGCAGCACCTGCTGTCAGGTGCTGTACGGAACTCACTGGTTTAGTATCTGTCTTACTACCAGGACATGGGCTCTCTGTGGAGAGGGAGTTCGACCTGTTTGGTTGCCAATGTGTCCAAGGTCTTGAAATAGTGCCTGGTGCACAGTAGGTACTCAACATATATTTGCTGAGTGGATGAATCAAAGCTTCAGCTCTAGGCTGTTCACACCTACCTGCCTCCAGGACAGACTCTCCCAAACTCCAGATGAGTTTGTAGGAGGCAGGAATCCTTGAAGGTTCAGTTGATTATAAAACTGGGTCTGGTCTTTTCTGTGGGTAGACTTTTTTTGTTGCTCCTAGTTATTAATGTCTATCAGTATATTTAGGTGTTTTTTCATCCTGAGTCTGGTTTGTTAAATTTTCTTTTTCTAGGAAAAATTTCTAAAGAATCTGTTTTTCATCTTGTTTATCATCTCTACTTTCTATTTGTTTAATTCGAATCTGCTTATTTTTCTCTGCCTTTTCTTTTATTTCTATGACTCATTTTCTAGTTTCTTCAATGGACACTTAAGGCTATAAATTACCAAATGCCACTTTAGCTCTGTCCCTTAAGTTTTGATAAGTAGTATTGTTAATTAAACCTTGTTATGACTTTCTAATATCAGTTATATTTTTTGGCTTGGGAATTGCAGAAAAGTATGCTTATTTAGAAGTATGCATATTTTTGTTAAATTTATTTCTAAGAATTTTGTTATTTCACATTATTGCAAATAAACTTTTCAAGTTTCATTTTATAACTGTTTATTGCTAATACATAAAAGTACACTGATTTTGTATATAAAATTTTATAGCCTAGAACCTTGTTAAATTCACTTCATTCTAGTAGCATTTTTTACAGGTTCCTTTGGATTTTTCTACATAAACAATCAGGGCATCAGCAAATACCAAAATGCTTCCTCCTTTTGAACCTTTATGCCTTTTATTTCTTTTTCTTGCCTTATTGCAATGGCTAGGACCATCAGTACAGTGTCATATGGAAGTGGTAAGAGCAAGCATCCTTGCTTTGCTGTCAATCATATGGGGGAAATGTTCAATTTTTTCACTGTTAAGTATAATGTTATCTGAAGGTATTTTGTAGATTCCCTTTATCAGATTGAGAAAGTTTCCCTCTGCATCATGTACAGATGTCTGTCTCTCTAAAGGAATTTATTGGAAACCTTACCCAATGACTCTGTTTACCTCTCATTAGCCAGAACTGGGTCTGTATGCAAGTTAGGCTAGGAAATGAGGTTCTTTCTTAGGTGAGCACATTGCTGCCCCTATAACACCATGCTGCTGTAAATAATGAAGAAGGCAAGTGGATATTAGGATAGGCAACCAGCAATCATGCAATTCTAGAGGAACAGTCATTTACATGCCAAATTTTTAATTTACTGTTCTTTGTCATCTGGGTTCTATTGTTGCCATTTACATAAATGCTACTTATAATTGTCATTTTTTTTCTGTATAAGTTTCTGGCTACTTTTAAGACCCTGTTGTCTTTAATATTATTCAGTTTCACATGATGTGTCTTGGTGTGGTTTTAGTTTTCGTTGTCCTCTTTGGGGTTTGTTGTGGTTTCTGATTGTAAGGAGTTATGTCTTTCATCAAATCTGGAATTTCTCTGCTATTATCTTCTTCTTTTTTTAATCAGCAAAGTTTTATTGTAAAATAAAAAACCAATATTAACAAAATGTGATATAGCCCTAGCCAGTTTGGCTCAGTGGGTAGGGTGTCGGCCTATGGGTTGAAGGGTCCCAGGTTCGATTCCGGTCAAGGGCACATGCCCAGGTTGCGGGCTTGATCCCCAGTAGGGGGTTGTGCAGGAGGCAGCCAATCAATGATTCTCATCATTGATGTCTCTCTCTCTCTCTCCCTCTCCCTTCCTCTCTGAAATCAATTAAAAATTTATATATTTTAAAAATCCTATATAATAAAAGTCTAATATGCAAATTGTCCCCTCGACTGGGAGTTTGACCACTCTCTATGACGTGTGCTGACCCCCAGGGGGCGGCGCAGAGCATGGCGGGCATCAGCGACGCAACACAGGCAGCAGGTGGCAGTGGAGGTGCTGCTCGCCCCATGGGCCCTGATGAGAGCAGGACTGTGGAGGGATGGTGGAGAAGGTGAGCAGGCAGCTCCAGGCCAAGGCAGGTGCGAGCAGGCCTGATCGCCCAATCCGTCTGGCCTTGGGCTGGGACGGGGAACTGGGGGTGGGTCGTGGCGACCAACCTCCTGTGGCACCTGGCTTGGGGGGGGGAACCTCCCGCAGTACCCGGGTGGGGATCTGCGACCTCTCGCCAGCTACCTGGGGGCGGGGGTGACAAGGACAGAGGTGCGGTGAGAATGCGGGGTGTCCACCAAGCTTGCTCTCACTCCCTCTGCCACCCTACCCCAGATCGCCAGGGCTCTTGCGCACCAGGGAAGTCCCCGCGATCAGGTGCTGGGCACCTGTGAGGAGCCCACCCGCACCCCCACGGCCTCTTTGGGTGAGCCAGGCCACAGCCACCAGGACAGCAGGGGCCAGTCAGGCTCCTTGTAAGTTCACACAGGAGCCGGTCTGGGAGGCTGGCTGGGAGAGCATGCTGTCCGCCTGGCTTCTGTGTGGCGCCCCTGGTCGGCCCAGAGGCCCACGCTGCGCCCTGGCCTGCATCTCCACGTGGGGACTTGGGCATCGTGACTCAGGCAGAGGGGAGCACGAAGGGGCCCAGGTGCTGTCCAGGGCCCAGAGGTCAGCTGGGACCTGCCCTTCCACGTCAGACGCGCGCACTTCGATCGCCAGCCAAGCCTAGGGACTGCACCTGTGCACAAATTTCATGCACCGGGCCTCTAGTGTGATATAAAAGGGGAAGAGTGGGAGGGGTGCAGGTGAGGAATACAGATGTGCCTTACAGACTATAGAAGAAACTGATCCCGAGCATTTGGGGGAAGTAAAACAGATCTTGGAAGATATAGATCCTACACTGGAGATGGAACCTTCCAGAGTGTGGGATGAGGTGAGATTCTTCTTAGGTGGTGAGGTTCCCCTGACTTCAGACAGGATTTGGTCAGGCCAGCAGAGAAGGGACTTAGAAATTCCCTCCTCTTAACTAGCTGCCCAGCCATAGAAACCATTAACCCATCTACAAATGGGGACAGGAAACCAGCACCCCTAAGGGAGCCTGGTCCCAAACATACATCGTTTCATTAACCCTCACAGTAAGCCCCATAAGGCAGGTATGACTATTGACATTTTATCAATGTGGACAATGAAGTTAGGAAATTCAACTTGAAATAGCTTCCCTGGCTAGTTTGCTATTATCTTCTTTAATATTGTCTCCTCAGTATCTCCTATTGAAAATATGTTAGACCTCAAGGATTATCCTCGAAAGCATTATGTGAAGTGAAATAAGCTACCACAACGGACAAACATATGACTTTACTTACAAGAGGTATCTAGACTAGACAGATTCATGCAGACAGAAGGAAGAATAGAAGTACAGGGATTGGGGGCGGAGAGGCTAGGTAGTTATTGTTTTGGGGGTACAGAGTTGCTGTTTAGAATGATGAAAAAGTTCTGGAAATAGTGGTGATGGTTCTACAGCATTATAATATATTTAATGAAATTATAAAGTGTGACATTTTTTAAAAGAGTGAACATTTTAAAAAATATTAGGCCTGCTCATTCTAATTTCTGCAAAATGTTCTCATCCCCTAGTCCAGTAGTTCTCAACCTTCCTCATGCCACAACCCTTTAATACAGTTCCTCATGTTGTGGTGACCCCCAACCATAAAATTATTTTCGTTGCTACTTCATCACTGTAATTTTGCTACTGTTATGAATCCTAATGTGAATATCTGATATGCAGGATGTATTTTCATGGTTACAAATTGAACATAATTAAAGCATAGTGATTAATCACAAAACAATATGTAATTATATATGTGTTTTCTGATGGTATTAAGAGACCCCTGTGAAAGGGTCGTTCGACCCCCAAAGGGGTCGCAACCCACAGGTTGAGAACCACTGCCCTAGTCTATTTGGGTGCTGGGTAATTCCTTCAGACTATCTTCAAGTTCAGTAATTCCCAGCTGTGTCTGGTCTGCTATTTAACCTGCCCATTGAAATGTAGTTATTACATATTTTTGTTCCTTTTCAAATCTATCAGATTTTTCTGTTTCTCTTTTTTCTGATCCTTTTCGATAGTTTCTCATTCTTGTCCAGGTTTTCTAATGGCATCTTTTATCTCTGTGAATATCTTCAGCATACTTCCATGTTTTGTGATTTTATTTTTATTTTAAAATATATTTTTATTGATTTCAGAGAGGAAGGGATAGGGAGAAAGACATAGAAACATCAACGATGAGAGAGACTCATTGATTGGCTGCTTCCTGCATGTCCCTATTGGGGACCGATCCCACAACCTAGGCATGTGTTCTGACAGGGAATTGAATTATGACCTCCTGGTTCATAGGTCGGCACTCAACCACTGAGCCATGCTGGCCAAGCCATGTTTTGTGACTTTAGGTTATGATCTCATGTTTGCCCCATTCCATCCGTGGGATCCTGGGGGACTGCGCTGGGCTGTCCTCCTCCAGAGATGATCATTTGCTCAGGCAGTGCCTCAGTGCTGCCAACCAACAACCTTCAACTGATTCCAGACCACTCCTCATATATATTTAAAATTCATACCCATTTGAAGGTAAATGTATATTTCTGAATTTGGGGAGATTTGATTTACATCTTGTGGTGACATCATTACAAAATCTTTTTCATTTCTCTTTCCTGGAGAGCAGGGTTTTTTCTCAGTCTTTCTAGCTTCTCACTGAAATTATGGGTCTTTAAAAGTCCTGACTGTGTGAGAATCTAAATTCTAACTTCTTGTATTGCATGGGCCTAAGCCTGTCTTTTGTCTCCTGTGCGGCCATTAAAACCCCAAGCTCTAAGTTCCTGGTACTGAGACTGTCTCCAACGTCATATGGGCTAACACTGTTGCTTTTAGATTCCACTTCATTTTGTGTCTCTGGGAATACACCTTGCTTTCTTTCAAGCTCAGCTATGCAGTTAAAAAAAAATGCTTATTATACTTTTGTCAGCATTTCCAAGTGCTTTATAATACAGGGGCTTTAGATTTTGTTGAAACTGTTTTTCTTATTCAGCCACAGCAGTCAGCCTGTAGAGTGCTTATTGATTTTTTGCTGGGCAGATATTAAATGAATGCATAAATGAACAAAAGAACATTCTGCATTTTAAAACGTTTATTATACATACACACCAGAGCACAAAGCAGGAGGAACAGAGGTGATTAATGGGCCCCTCTGGTCAACCACGTCCCCTCGGTCACTGAAGATTTTGGTGTCTTGATCAAGAGTTGCCTGTACATCCGATTCTGACCTCATCCATCTCCGTCCACGAGATTCCTCGCACTATGGCCTCCCTCTTCCTTGACCTCTCACCTCCCTGACTGTAAAAGCTAGGGTCTGGGTGTAGGTTGCAGACGCCTAGTTTGAGCAGAAAGGGATTGAACCCCCGAACTTAGTGCTACAGAGTCATTGTAAACACACTATCCCTGAGGTCCCCTGGGGAGTTACTCCTGTCACCACAGTCAGCAGCAGCAAACGAAGGCGTCAGAAAGCAAATGCCCTGCTGCCAGCTCCCTGCGGACCACCCTCTCAGCCGATCTGTACCTCCCACCCCCTCTTGCACCCAGGTAGAGCCGTGTCACGGAGTTCTGGAATCGATTTGGGTAGAAATGCTGTGGGCCACTCCCAGACCCAACCCACAAATACCTGTCGCCCAGTCCTGCTTGTGCTGTCTTCACCCTCCTGGGATGACCTTAAATCCTCATGTCAACAGTAGCAGCACTTCCCTGAATGACTAGATGGAGCAGAGGGCTGCCATCCCTGCCCAAGTTGCCAACTGGACTTTCTGTGAGCATGAAATAAACATCAATTGTTTTAAGTCACTAGCATTTGGGGGTTACCTGTCAAAGTAGCTGGTTTTTCCTCAATGATATAGGAGGGAGCCCCCGGGGCCTCCACTGGGCTTCTCACCTGAGTCTTTGCCGGGATCTGCAGGTAATATTGCATTGGCCTGCTGCTTAGTGCATCCATCCAAACCGAACGCCTTGAGAACCGGAGAAATTAACACAAGATAGATTCACATTCCCGCTGTGTCCATGGGGAGATGGGCTGTGGCCCTAAATGCATATTTCATCTGACCCCTCGGATCAGTGGACTGTGGGTGGGCGGGACATCACATAGTCTGGGAAGTGTCATTAGCTCAGAGCCAGAGCCCAGCTGTTCCTGAGAGCTTGGGGTGTCCCCGCCCCCAGCGCACGCGCCATCCCGGCCAGTCTACATCCCTGTGTGGGGGAGGGGGACCAGGCAGGGGAAGACCACAGGGCCTTGGGTGTTTCCGCCAGGACTTTCCCTCTGGCAGAGGCTCCGGATACGCGAATGACTCATGTCCAGGAATTGGAAGGGGAGATGTGACTGCATTGTGAGTCAGGTTCCAGTCGTGTTCCTGAGACATGGGGGTCTCCACCCCCACCCCCACCTCCACTGACAGAGCCCTGTTTTGTCCTAAGGGTGACTCCATGACCAATGAGCCAAAGGTCTCTGAGGCCACACCATTCTTCTTGACCATCATGGTGACCACACCTACCTGGCCACATGGCCTCTGTCATCTCACGATCTCTTTACCCATTTATTTTCAAAAAATATTTTTTCTTGCCCTGACTGGTTTGGCACAGTGGATCGGCCTGCGGACTGAAGGGTCCCAGGTTCAATTCTGGTCAAGAGTGCATGCCCGGGTTGGGGGCTTGATCCCCAGTAGTGGGTGTGCAGGAGGTAGCCAATCAATGATTCTTTCTCATCATTGATGTTTCTATCTCTCTCTCTCCCTCTCCCTTCCTCTCTAAAATCAATAAAAAAATTTTTTTTAAATATTTTTTCTTGATTGATTTGAGAGAGAAAGAGATCGACCCGTGGCTCCACCCATTTCTCTGTACCCCATTTCATTTCTGTCCTCTAGAGGCCAGCCTCCCCACCGCTTTCAAGGTCGAGCACAGTACACTCCTTTCAAAGGTGCTGCTGCCCCTCGCTGCACGTCTAGTGTCGTGTGAGGGGGTGTCCTCAGGCCCTCCCAGAGGAGAGTTCAGGGACCTTGAGCAAGTCTCTCAGTCTTTGGATACCTTTTCATATCCACCCAGTGCAGGGTCACTTCCTCAGTATCCCTGCCTCGGGACTTTGCCAAAGGGTGCACTGTCCTGGTGTCTAAGGCTCCTCCTCCTGGAGGCTGGGCTGTGACCCATGTGCCTCCTCAAGCCCTTGGGCCTGTGGAACGGCAGCCGGCTATCAGCCCCCCTCAGCCGGACCTGCACCAGGTCTGCAGGGGCATCCTGGCTGCCAGACCATGAGTCCCCAGGCTGCCGCTTGGAGGACCACATATTGGATCTGCTGGAGAAGATGCTTTGAGCTCCATCTAGTTCTTCGCCTGGTCTGGGCAGAATTTCCTTCCGGGGCGGAATTGACGTTCCTGATAAAATGCTCTTGAGATAATCCAGTGAACTTCAATGACGGCATGACTTGATTTGGAAACGGCCACCAGCCCCTCTGAGGGTCTGCACCACAGGTTTTCTGTGTTGAGTCTGAGACGGATCCTCCCGCCCTGAGTGAATTCCTGACATGGCCGCTCAGGATCCTGCCCCTGCGTGCACCATTGTCATGAAACCTGACCACTGCTGGGTGGCAACCTGTCTTCATCTCTCCACCTGTCCTTGGCCAGATAGCCCCCTCTTGCCCAGGTCTCAGCGGGAGATCCCTCCGGCCTGCCGTTCTCATGGCACCGCCCCGCCCCCACATGACAATGACAATGGTAAAGATACAGACTCGGCACATGCCAGCAGTGGCTTAGTCCTGCCCACCAACCAGCTGCGTGCATAAGATTATTGTCCTCCATTCACAGGGGCCCAAGAGCAGCAGCTCATACCTGAGCGGAGAGATGGGAGAGGGAACCAGGGGCCAGGGAAGTCCCCACTGAGAAAGTAGCATCCACCAGACTGGAAGGAGTGGGGGAGCTAGCTATGCCAGGACCAAGAATTCCAGATGGGGCACAGCAAGGTCTGCAGCCTGAGGCTGAGGGTAGGGGACAGCAGAGAGGGGGCTGAGGGACAGCACCACACAGAGCACCTCCCACCAACCACCGTGCTCCTGGGCAGAGCCTCCCCCGTCTGCCCCACTCCATTCTATTTTTTTTTTAAATATATTTTATTGATTTTTTACAGAGAGGAAGGGAGAGAGATAGAGAGTCAGAAACATCGATGAGAGAGAAACATCGACCAGCTGCCTCCTGCACATCTCCCATGGGGGATGTGCCTGCAACCCAGGTACATGCCCTTAACCGGAATCGAACCTGGGACCTTTCAGTCCGCAGGCCGATGCTCTATCCACTGAGCCAAACCGGTTGTGGCTCCATTCTAATTTTTAAAAAATACATTTTATTGATTTTTTTACAGAGAGGAAGGGAGAGGGACAGAGAGCCAGAAACATCGACAAGAGAGAGACATCAATCAGCTGCCTCCTGCACACTCCCCACTGGGGATGTGCTCGCAACCAAGGTACATGCCCTTGACCGGAATCAAACCCGGGACCCTTGAGTCCGCAGGCCGACACTATCCGCTGAGCCAAACCAGCTAGGGCCCCACTCCATTCTGATAGGGGTCTAAGGGTAGAATAAAAGTATGGTTTTGTTTTTCCCCTCTTGTCTTAATTTCTCTTTTCTTTCCCACCCTTTTACTAACAGAATATGTAATTAAGTAATCAAATGTATGTATTTAACCTTATGTTCTGGCTAAGATTTTATTGCAGTTCTTAGTTGACCAGACAAAACCAAAAACTTTAAAAAAAAATTCTTTGTTTAAATATTACATGAATCTTCTTTTTCCCCCATTGACACCCCCCCCCCCAGCGCATGCCCTTACCCCGATACTGTCTGTGTCCAAAAACCAAAGACTTTTAACCCAGCCCTGAACTTACACGCCTGGCCACCATGAAGGTGGAAGCAGATCAATTTAGTCTCAGAAACGCCGGGCTGACACACACCTGATCACTACCTGAGCGGCCATCCTCTGCCACGACTGTCCACTCCCCATCAAACCAGCACAACATACTCAGGGGCAACTGTTTCTTTTCAATTCTTATGAAGTCTCCCATGTCACATCAAACTTATAAAGTTAAATAAATGTGACTGCTTTTTCCTGATGACGATTGTCAGTTTAATTTTCATGCCCAGCCAGGGATCCTGTGAGGGTCAAGGTAAACTCTTCCTCCTCTACAAGAGCCAAAGAGCAAGGGGTGTGGGGTGACAGTGGGTGGAAAGTTACTACGAGGAAACAGCAGGGATGAGGGGGAATTCTGGCTAAATCCACCCAGAAGAGAAGCCCCCTGTATGTTACTTTACTCAGATTTGTAAAGTTATTCGCTGAGTTCGCTGGCGTAAATAAACAGTGTCACTCCTTTTCTCTAAAGCGCCGCTTGGTTTTTCTCTGGTCTTTTGCAACATCTGCAGAGCCCAGAATTGAGATCAACCACATGGCCATTGTGTGGCAAAGGGTGAGGAAATGAAGCTGGGTGGCCAAGTGGGGAAGCAGGGATGGTGGTTGCTGAGGGCAAGGAGGTAGACAGAGCAGAGTGAGGGGCGGCAGAAGCCTGGCAGCCGGACTCCGGTGCCCCAGGTCCTCACATCAGCTGTGTAGGAAGCATGCCTCTCTGCTTCATCTTCATAGAAAAGAAACAGTATGTGGCCAGGTGGTTACTGAATTTCCCCAGAGCAAACAGGATGTGAGGGGTCGGGAGAGGGACACATGGTTCATAGCATATCCTAGGATGAGGGAATACAATATTTTCCAAATGAACTTTTGTAGGAAGCGTGCCTTTATGATTGATCTTCATAGAAAACAAAGAGCATGTGCCAGGTGGTTACTGAATTTCCTCAGAGCAAATAGGATGTGGGTGGTGGAGAGAGGGTGAGAGCTGCATACACGTGGCTGATAGCACATGTCCAAGGATGATTCCCCTAGAGACAAAGGGAGGTGGAGGCAACTAGAAAAGGCCCCAGCCATTTTCTAAACTAACCTAACGGGAGTCAGTAAGTCCTAGGTGACCTATTAGGAAATAGGTGACCAAATAGTACTCAGCCAATGAGGAACTGGAGGAGGGACTAAATAAATAGGCTATGTTCCCTGCCCAACATGGGTTCCTGTACAATGAGTGCCCACTCTCAAGAGTGTTATTAAAAGTCTCATTTTCGCGGTGCTTCTGTTTCCTAGTCAGTCATTTTAAATTTGGACAGGTGAGCCACTTCTCACAGCCGGCCCAGGAGCAGGAGCCTTTAGGTGTCCATGTTCCCAGATGGAGGTCTCTCTCATCTCTGGTCCTAAAAGGAGCAGGAGCCTTTAGGTGTCCATGTTCCCACAAAAGCAGCTTACCCACCCTACCCAGGCCCCGGAGATGGAGGTCTCTCTCATCTCTGGTCCTAGAAAGACAAGACCCACACCTTGCAAGGCCTCTCTGCTAACTGTGGGCGTGAGTTCCAAATTAGCAATGGCCCAGGGGTCCAGAGCCATATCCTGCACCCTGGTGGGCCGCCTCCCACTCAGTATCTCCCCCAAACTGACCCTGCAGCAACCCAGGAAGAGCTCACAGCTCCAACCTGCAGAGGCTTAGCTTTGAACAAACACAGCTGGTAGCGCACACACCTCCTCCTCATCCAGAGGTCAGGGCTGGGCTGGCTTTGTGGTCCCGTGTGCAAACACCTGAGCAGCCTCCAGACACCACAGGGGACAGGGCCAGCCATTTGCATAACATTACAACCGAAGGCAGGCTCTTTCTGAGAATCGGGGCAGGTCTCTGCTGCCCGGGGTTTTTCCAAGCTTGCAGCTGAAAGAGCCTTTGGTTGGTTCCTTTTAAACTCCCATCCACAGTGCCCACCAGCTGTGACTGCTCCAATTACAGGTTCAAAGATTTCTGGGCAGCGGAGAAACTTTCTGGCCAGGCCGCACCCCCTCCCCCAAACTCAGCTCCCACGCACCAGCCCAGAAACCAGGCTAGAGGCGGACAGCCAGGGGGATGGTTCCTGGAGACTGACCCCTTCCTTCCCCATGAAGTCAGCAGCGCCATCTCTGAGCCCTTCCATTTTGGATCCCCACACTGCCCCTTGTCTTGAGTCGTGTCCACAGCAGCTCCCCAGACAGGGCCGAGCTTCTAAGGAAGCTATGTCCTGTCCCCCGCCCCCTTCCCGGAGGCCTTTCCACAGCCCTGTCCCCCACTCCCCTCCAGGGTCAGTAACCACGGTAGCCAAGTCCTACTCCCAGAGGAGTGCCCTGAGCTTGTGGAGGAACCTGAGGCCAGAGAGCTGCCCTAGGGAGGGTTCTGGGGCAGTGGCCGTAGGGGAGCTGCTGAGTGGAGCAGTGCACGGAGCACAGGAGTACCTTACCCACCGAACAACCCGCGGGGCCCCTTTCTTGGAGACAGCTAAACAAACTGGGAACCAGATGAAGTCATCTGCCCAAGGCTGTTTGTCCATGACAGAGCCTGGACCATGCATCTTCTCTTTTGATAGGTCCTTCCTATTGGTGTGCCCTGGAGACAGCCCAGACACACATACACACGCGCACACGCGCGCACACGCACACACTCACGCGCGCACACGCACACACTCACGCGCGCGCACATGCACGCGCGCACACGCACGCACGCACACCGGGAAGGACGGGTTTGAAAGAATTCGCCATCTAGTGTTTCAAAACCAGCACGAGTGGTGTTGACGGAAACGCCAGCAGAGGTTGGCTGGTTCACCCGGCGCTCCGGACACGCCCTGCGCTCAGGTCCCAGCCCCGCAGGTCCGGGCGTGTTTCTATCCCAGGGTTCCACCTATTGGAATCATGTCCATCCCTCAATGCTCTGCCCAAGAGTCTTACGTTTTATATACAACACTTCCTAAATCAATTTTAATTAAACAAGAAATACATGAATGCATTCTCCCAGTCATAATGTAGAGCATTATGGATAGGGCTGAAGTCTCTATTGACAAAAACCTCCAAGCTCCATTCTTCCTCAAAGGTGAGCAATATTATCCATTTGTTGCATGTTTTCCCAGAGTCCTTTCTATGCATTTGCATATTCACATATGAACGAGTAGGAAGTATCCAATATGTTTTGCATGTTTTACACAAATGGTAACACCCTTGGTTTTTTTCACTCAACAATCCCTACTGGAGACTTTTCCACATGACGTATCTATAAGACTCAATAGGGTAGCGGGTATTCTTTTAATCTGCCATAGTATGAGCCCCAGCATTTCTCCCTCCCAGGACAGTCTGGT